ATGCCCAGCTAATTTTCTGTATTTTTAGTAGAGACGGGGTTTCACCATGTTCACCAGGATGATCTCGATCTCTTGACCTCGTGATCCACCCGCCTCGGCCTCCCAAAGTGCTGGGATTACAGGCTTGAGCCACCGCGCCCGGCCTCCGACAAAGGTCTTAATATCCAGAATCTGTAAGGAACTTAATTAAACAAGCAAAAAAACAAATGACCCCATCAAAAAACGGCAAAAAGACATGAACAGAATTCTCAAAGGAATACATACATGCGATCAACAAACATGAAAAAATGCTCCACATCACTAATCATCAGAGTAATGCATCTCACACCAATCAGAATGGCTATTACTAAAAAGTCAAAAAACAGCAGGTGCTGGTGAGGCTGCAAAGAAAAGGGAATGCTTATACACTGCTGGTGGGAATGTAAGTTACTTCAGTCACTGTGGAAAGCAGTTTGGAGATTTCTCAAACTACCTAAAACAGTACTGTTTCACCTAGCAGTCCCTTTACTGGCTATATACCCAAAAGGAAAATAAATTGTTCTACCATAAAGACACATACATTTGCATGTTCATGACAGTACTAGTCACTGTAGCAAAGACATGGAGTCAACCTAAGTGCCCTTCAATGGTGGACTGGATAAAGAAAATGTGGTACATATACAACATGGAATACTATGTAGCCATTAAAAAGAATGAAATCATATCCTTTGCAGCAAACCCAAGCAAATTAACACAGGAACAGAAAATCTTATACTGCATGTTCTTACTTACAAGTAAGGGAGTTAAGCACTGGATACACATGAATGTAAAGATGGCAACAGTAGACACTGGAGCTACTGGAGTGGGGAGGGAGGGGGCAAGGGTTGAATAGCTATGGGGTACTGTGCTCAGTACCTGGGTGATGGGATCATTCATACCTCAAATCTCAGCATCGCGCAATATACCTGAATCTAAAAAGTTGAAAAAAACCTGCAGAAAATCAAGATTTAGAAAAATCTCAAAAGAACGAAGCTGGCCTGTAATCTCAGCACTTTGGGAGGCTGAGGTGGGAGGATCACTTGAGGTCAGGAGCTCACGACCAGCCTGGCCAGCATGGTGAAACCCCATTTCTACTAAAAAGACAAAATTAGCCAGTGATGGTGGTGCACACCTATAGTCCCAGCTGCTCAGGAGGCTGAGGAACAAGAATTGCTTGAACCCAAGAGGTGGAGGTTGTGGTGAACTGAGATCACACCACTGCATTCCAGCCTGGGTGATGGAGGGAGACTCCA